CATATACACCCAAATTCAGTTTTAGTTTCATCCAAATTCCACGAAATTAACACCAAATTTCAAACAATTAACAAAACCTTAGCATTCACTTTCATCTAAATACACAAAACCCTGACATTAACAAAATCTAACATAGTACCTAAACAAAACATTGTAAACAATACAACTCTTCAATAGAAAATGTATTTGTAGATTCACCTGTAGCTTTTTATCAAAAAAAGGTGAACTTGTATCCAAAAAATTTTTGAAACAGCTTCCCACCTGAAAATGAACACTTGTTTTAAACCTCACAACCCTTCAACCCAAAACCGCAATATAATCATAAACATGTCACCACCACCACTGCTATTCCTAAAAATGAACATCTGTGATGGCAACTGGTGTAGGCGGTGGTGATTATGTTCGGTTAATATTGTGATTTGCTTCATTTATGGTTTGCTTAACGATCCACTAAAAAAGATAAGTAAAAAAAAATCCCCAAAATAATAAATAAATAATCATCATCCCATCAATTTTTCAACCTATTTTACAGTACCGGAGCACAATAATTTGCCACAAAACTAAACCAAAATCCACGCACAAATATTATACTCAATTTCAAACAAATTCAAGAAAAATTCTACTTTTAATTGCTAATTGCTCAATTCAATTGCAAAAATGAAAAGAAATGAACCAGAATGAACCATGCCAAACATAAAGTATGATACCCATATTAAGAAATTTTATTTTCTTTCCAAAAACTCTTATTGTCAAATCCGTCCATGTAACCCACTACAATCATCAAAAACATAAAGTAATCTATCCAATTCAACATATCAATATTCCAAAATCCCAGTCTTATTACCCTTAAAGCAATCTATCCAATACAAAATTGAACTTCTCAAGTAGTAATAAACATCAATATAAAATTGACCTAAATATCACTAAACATCAATATAAATACAACCAAGCAACTCTATAAAAGAATGATTTAGCTTAGAAGAGGCAACCCAATTTTCGAATACACTTGAACAATTCACATAAAAGAATGATTTCCAAATTTCAAAAGTGCACTAAATTAATCAAAACCCAAGTGCAAAAATACAACACAGAATATCAAGAAGTGTACCCCAATCTTAGCTTGTTGTATTCACAAATTAATGTGGAGAATTAACGTCCTCTACTACAACCTTAAATAGAAGTCATCGACCAATGCTCCGACCACCTGTAGATCAACAATCTCATATATTATCAAAATCAAGAAAGCAAAAGCAAAAGAAAAAAAACACAAAACCTCAACTTTTTCGCCAGTGGTTCGTGCCGTTTTTTGAGAGCATTAAGCAAATCAATAAAATTGTTTCGGTCACTTAAGTTCAACATAAGAGAAACATGCACAAACACGTGAATTTTGGGTTTTGCTTTCTTGAAGGCTGCAATTGTCGTTGTGATTGTTCAAACGTAGTGGGTATGTTTGTGTTCTGTGTTTATTTAAAGTTGCTTTTAAGGAAGGGTATTTGAAAGTTTTAAAAAATAGTGGATTTAACTACTTATTAATAAGATTAAAAACGGACTTATCCCCAAATAAATTTTCTTGACGGACTAAACTCATTGTAACTCAGCCCCAATTTTCACTTTAAAAAAATAGAAACCCTCAAAAATTTCCACTAAAAATAGAAGCCCACAAACAATATGCACCGTAATCATACACAAACTAATTACAGAACTCACCATCGCACCCTAGTCCTGCCTAAACAAAACTATTTACTGACTACCACAACAACATAATAATATTAACCACTAACAGTGATAACTAACCAAAATTTTACCGTCATGTATTAGCAAAACTGTAATGATTGCTATTATCAATGTCTCATTCTTTAACATATGAGCTTCACAATAAGCAACCTACTATCCCTCCAACCTTATACAACAAACAATATAGATCCAAATTCCAACTTAGAGGGACTACAATCCAAACTCACAAACTAAAATTCATATTCAAAAATCAAATTCAAGAAAATACGATGAATTCAAATAAAAATTGGCCTATAAATTACACATCATGTGACTGTCTTCTTCAAAACACAAATGCAACTTCTGGGCACACATTCACTTATGTCAACCAATTAAAAATAGTGCATTTAAAATTGATAATTATAGCACTGTCCCAAATTTTATCGCAAGTACCACAAACAACAACAGAATCAACAAGTATATTTCCTAGAATATGAGATGAAAAATGCGAGTGATCTTCGTTAGTGGAAAACCATCTCACTCAGCAAGACTTTGGAACCAAATATGACCCAATAAACCCACAATCTCTTTCCCAACTGTCAAACAAAAACCAATTATTTTTTAGTGAATCACTAACAAACTTGGGGCTTTAAGGAAAAAAATGAAATGAGAGGGAAAATTGTCTTACTTGTGTAGTGGTGTCATGTGAAATTGTTAGCGACATTTTTGCTGGTAATGAATTCTTCGGCAACAATCAGTAATTTTCAATATGCAGTTCCGAGTTTACTGAAAAACTACTATTAGTTTTAGCATTCATATGGGAAAAAAATGAAACATAATTATTATTTCCAATCACTAATACTTTAGTTTTGATGAAATTCATAAACCCTCCATTCAAAACTCCCCAAAAAATCCCATTCGCACAAATTTAAACATGGAAACTAATTCAACTGTCAAACCAAATTTAGTTAACAATTAAAAGAATTAAAAATTAATTACCTTAGTGAATCCCTTTGTGGTGCTAGTCTATGTCCAATGAAGAAAATCCTTATGCGTGGTTGAACAACAGAATCCCAATAAGCCCCTTATAGCCAGCCTCTACCAACCATTGCCCCTATAACCGGTGCAAATATTTTTGACAATTTCCTTGGCTTGGTGCAAATATTTAGTGAAAACTCATTGGACAAATTCAATGCAAAACAAAGAATTAGAATGTTAAGCTTATTAACCTGATAGCTTCCAACACTTTATAAAATAAACCAAAAGCATTCTCATGACAATCTAGGTTGCTCAGAAGATAAAATCCAAAAGAGAGAAAATGTATACACCTGGCCTAACCTTGTCAAGTACAATGCCGAAACAAAATCCCAAATCCAATAATTCCAAATTCGAATTAAAGTTTCAATTATGTTGTAATGTAAAAAAGAAATTTGCAAGCAAATCTCACCATTTACTACAACAAAAATATAAACAATTTAAGTTTTACCAAAATTCAAACCCAAAAAAAAAACAGAGATAATATGCTTTAGTGATTACCAACACGTCATACATGAAAACTAACAAATGAAGAGCATTTCAAATCAACATCTCACACAACAATTTTCCTACTAAGGAAGAAGTTTGGTGATTGCATGGACCATTAAATACTAATAAAATTAATACTTGGGAAAAAGAGACCAAGTAAAAAAGCTCAGACAAAAAAAATTAAAATATATGACTATCCCATGTAAAAATGATTATGATTTTGTTGGTCATCATCAATAGTTTCTTGACACCAGGTTCCTATATATTAATAAACTAAAATCAATTAAAAGCAACTCAAAATCATTAAGCACAATATTATGATCCATAATTGAGAAGCACATTCAAACCATCCATACAAGAATCTAACTAAACACGACAATTTAAATAGATAAACAACCCAACTCTCAACCAAATTTAACTAAACTAACCCTCGATCTTTTACCTCCTACAAACGCTCCACTGGCACTGCTCTCGAGACCACCACAAACTTTGATTCTTTACTTGGACTAGTACCAATAAGCCAATAATCAAAGCAAACAACTTCATTATGATCACCACCACCTAATCAATCATCGTGTCTTCAATGAAACTCCCAACATCAATTCAACGGATGCCACCAAATTGGAACATTCGACTCATCCAATAAAGTAGATGCAACTTTTTGTAGCAAAACACATCAATATAGCAGAAAACCCACACAAACATAATTAATTAAAAAAAAGTGTAGCAAAAGAGGAAAGGTAGAGAGAGAGGGGCCCAAAGCTCACGTAAAAACTCTCTACTCTCTGGCAATTCAAATGCAAAGTCAAAAGCATTGGTGGATGGTGTGGTTTGTCCTTTGTTGGGGCAAAAGAGAAAGAGGGAAAGTTGTGGTGGTAGCAACAATGTGTTTGAAAGTCTTTGAGAAAAATCATTGAAAACATGGTGGTGTGTGTAGGTGTCCAGAGTGTATTGTGTTAAGGGCCTTAAGGCAATGGTGGTAGAACGGAGGAAGAAGGTTATGGAGGTGGGGCTGGGGGTGGAGGGGTTGTGGGTGTGGTGGATTGGGGCAACAAAGGCTAATGTTAGTGGCTTGGAGGAAGTGGTGAGGGTCTGTGGAGGGTTCAAATCAAATTTCAAATTGGAAGCATGGGGATAGAGGAGATGGTGGCAAGGGGTGAAGGAGACAGTAGTGAGGTTATTGGTATGGTGGAGTTGGGGAAGCGATGGAGCAAAGACAGTAATAGGACCATAAAAGTACATGCTTGCTAACAATAAACTCAAAGAGAATGAAAGAATGGTCAACTGTTTTGACACAATGCATCAATTGCTTAACACCAGAACATGCCACATTCCCTTGTTATGGTGTCTGAAAATGTATTATCTTCTAAGAATAAAATCTCAACAAAATTCGAAACACAAAAATCTGTCCACAATACAAAAAAAAAAAAATAATAACTCAAAGTAAAAATTTGTGAATGAGTATCCACTATAGTCTTAAAATTATGAGCATCAGAGCTATGGAGAAATGGACAAAAAATTGGGCGTACACCATGTTTACCTGGGCATGCACCAAAACTTAGTGTCTAGGCATGTACCAAAACTATTGTAATACCAATGATGACAAAAACAAAGCATACACATATCACATAAACACAAATTCTGTAAAAGCAAAACAACGACTTGGACAAAAACATTGATAATGAAAAACAATGTAAGTCACATAATTATAGTAAGAAGACAAACCTACATATTTGTACATGTTTTCATGGCTCAGTTTAAGGAGCATCACTAGATTGATTCATGATATGAATTATGTTCTCAACATGGAATTTTTTCTCACCATTTTATATGCAAAATTCGACTAAGCATCTACAAACACTTAAAACCAAACTGATGAAAAAAAATTTCCAAAACTTTCTGCTCGTTCAACTTTATGTGTCTTTCTTGGTTATGATGAGGGTCAAAAATGGTATCGTTGCTATGATCCTATTACCCACAAATTTTATGTCTCTCGTCATGTTGACTTTATGGAGCATATTTTGTTATTTTCAATTCCATCTAATTCTTCCCCATTGAATAAGTACGACCTGCTATACATTGATCATTTTCCTACTGATGTTCCTCATGACACATATGTTGGTGATTTACCTATATCAAATCCTTCTCCCTTTGAGTTGACTATTACTCATTCCCCTATTATGCAGACATATGTTCGCAAGACTCCACTTATCTCCTCACCGGATGCAATGCCTCCCCTTTGTTCTCCTGCCACCCAATCAGGTTCAGACACTGTGGACCATGCTTCAAGCTATCCTCAACACTCTCATAAATGTCAAAACAGGTTTAGTTGGGGTTATACTTGTTATTCTATTGTTTTTTTGCCTTTTCTTACTTTTATTCATTCTTTATCTAAACTCACCTCCTATAAGGAGGTTTTACTTGATCCACTTTGGAAATAGGTTATGGATGAGGAGTTGTCTGTCTTAAATAAGACCAAAGCTTAGGAGCTAGTGCCTTTACCACTTGGTAAACGCACTATTGGTTGTAAATGAGTTTATAAGATAAAATCAAGTCTGATGGTTTCGTGGAATGGTATAAAGCTTGATTAGTAGCCAAATATTTTGCTTTGGAATATGGTGTAGACTATGATGAGACTTTTGCCCTTGTTGCGAAGATGCCTATTATCCACACCATGATTGCAATTGCTACCATTTGGCAATAGAGTTTGTCTCAGATGGATTGTGAAAAATGCATTTCTTCATTGAGATTTAAGTGAAGAGGTTTTTATGACTCCTCCTCCTGAATTTTCTTATAGTCTTGGTCAAGTATGTAAACTTTATCGAGCTTTATATGGCCTTAAATAGGCTCCTAGGGCATGGTTTACCAAATTTTCTTCGGTTATATGTGATTTGGGTTTTCGCGTTAGTGATCATGATTCTGCTCTTTATTTATGGTCCACTTCAATAGATTCTATTATTCTTTTACTATATGTTGATGATATGATTATTATAGGTGATGACATTGCTGATATATGCTTATTGAAAACTCAGTTGCAGGATCACTTTGAAATGAAGGATTTGGGATAACTTAGGTATTTCTTAGGCATTGAGATTGCTTCCTCTCTTAAGAGCTATTTTCTCCCTCAACCCAAATATACATCTGATGTAATTCAACGAGCTCGATTATCAGATAATCAAACAGTTGATATACCTTTAGATCTAAATGTTCGTTATTCTTCTTCTGATAGTACTCCATTGTTTGACCCTACTCTCTATCGCACTATTGTTAGGAGTTTAATATATCTTACAGTCACTCGTCCAGACATCTCTTATGTTGTTCACATTATGAGTCACTTTGTTGCCTCAACCACCATTGTTCACTGGGCTACTATTCTTTGAATTCTGTGGTATCTCTATAGTACTCTGCATCAGGGTTTATTATTTCCTCACTCTTCATCTATGGAGCTCAGGGATTACTCTGATACTGACTAGGCTGGTGACTCCATGGATGACAAGTCCACTACTGGTTTCTACCTTTTTCTTGGGGATTTTCTAATTTCCTGAAAAAGTAAGAAATAATTTGTTGTTGCTCGTTCTTCTGCTGAAACTGAGTATCATGTTATGGCATCTACTACAGTTGAGATAGTCTGGTTACGGTGGCTTCTTACTNAATAATTTGTTGTTGCTCGTTCTTCTGCTGAAACTGAGTATCATGTTATGGCATCTACTACAGTTGAGATAGTCTGGTTACGGTGGCTTCTTACTGATCTTGTCATTTCAATATCTACTCTTACTCCTATGTTCTGCGACAACACCTATGCTATTCAGATTGCTCACAACTCGGTCTTCCATGAATGCACAAAGCACATTGGATTGATTATCACTTTGTGCGTCATCATCTTCAGAAGGGCACCATCACTCTCCCCTTCCTTCCTTCCATAATGCAGATAGCGTATTTCTTTTTCGAAGTTTCACACCATAGCACATTTTTTATTTCTCCTTGGCAAACTCTGGTTATTTTTCGTCACATCATAAGTTTGAGGGAGTGTTAGAGTATTAATAAAAAAGATAATTTAGACATTTTGTTTATACTGTGTTGTCTTACTATATAAGTCTTACTTTATGTACTTCTAGGTCAATGAGGTTTCCAGACTGTTTAAGCTTAATAATATTGTCTCTACTTCTTCTTTCTTCTCNAATTTAGACATTTTGTTTATACTGTGTTGTCTTACTTTATGTACTTCTAGGTCAATGAGGTTTACAGACTGTTTAAGCTTAATAATATTGTCTCTACTTCTTCTTTCTTCTCTCTTTGATAAATATTAACAATCGTGAAATCCCAAAAAAATGATATCTATTCGGGTGTCCTTGGTGGTTGTGGCGTGTTCGNCTTAAGAGCTATTTTCTCCCTCAACCCAAATATACATCTGATGTAATTCAACGAGCTCGATTATCAGATAATCAAACAGTTGATATACCTTTAGATCTAAATGTTCGTTATTCTTCTTCTGATAGTACTCCATTGTTTGACCCTACTCTCTATCGCACTATTGTTAGGAGTTTAATATATCTTACAGTCACTCGTCCAGACATCTCTTATGTTGTTCACATTATGAGTCACTTTGTTGCCTCAACCACCATTGTTCACTGGGCTACTATTCTTTGAATTCTGTGGTATCTCTATAGTACTCTGCATCAGGGTTTATTATTTCCTCACTCTTCATCTATGGAGCTCAGGGATTACTCTGATACTGACTAGGCTGGTGACTCCATGGATGACAAGTCCACTACTGGTTTCTACCTTTTTCTTGGGGATTTTCTAATTTCCTGAAAAAGTAAGAAATAATTTGTTGTTGCTCGTTCTTCTGCTGAAACTGAGTATCATGTTATGGCATCTACTACAGTTGAGATAGTCTGGTTACGGTGGCTTCTTACTGATCTTGTCATTTCAATATCTACTCTTACTCCTATGTTCTGCGACAACACCTGTGCTATTCAGATTGCTCACAACTCGGTCTTCCATGAATGCACAAAGCACATTGGATTGATTATCACTTTGTGCGTCATCATCTTCAGAAGGGCACCATCACTCTCCCCTTCCTTCCTTCCATAATGTAGATAGCGTATTTCTTTTTCGAAGTTTCACACCATAGCACATTTTTTATTTCTCCTTGGCAAACTCTGGTTATTTTTCGTCACATCATAAGTTTGAGGGAGTGTTAGAGTATTAATAAAAAAGATAGTTTAGACATTTTGTTTATACTGTGTTGTCTTACTATATAAGTCTTACTTTATGTACTTCTAGGTCAATGAGGTTTCCAGACTGTTTAAGCTTAATAATATTGTCTCTACTTCTTCTTTCTTCTCTCTTTGATAAATATTAACAATCGTCAAATCCCAAAAAAATGATATCTATTCGGGTGTCCTTGGTGGTTGTGGCGTGTTCGGTGCTACCCAATATTAAAACTATATGAATCATATTGAGTTTAAAACCATTCCACAACCCACTCAAATATCAAAATGAGATGTTTATTCAATCCATAGCAATTAATCTTAGCCTAAATGAGAAGTTGAGATCCGAATTGGACAATAGACGTGAGGCTTCTCTATGCACACACTTGTGCTCAAGCCCCCTTGCACTACACATTACCCAACATCTCCACAACCATCCACCATCACAACATCATTACAAACACTACTACCAGCACCAAATACCTCTAATCACAACCACTCATCACCCAAGTCCCCTGCCACCCCATCCCAACACCTCCATAACCACCCCCCATCACCAACACCTTCATTAATCACCCAAAAACACCCATCCATAACCCTAGCCTCTTGTCACCACATCGCCACATTCTGCAAGGATGATATTTGTAAGAATATATAAATTTTAGCAATGGAAATACATTCTTCCAACCAACCAACCAACAAAAACAATCAAGTTTAAGATTACCAAGAATCCATATGGAAAATTAGTTGAAAATGAAATAAAATTAAGTAGCAATGCATCCAGTATATTGATATTGTAAACTCAATATTATAATGAACTTAACTCAAAGATCTCATAAACAATTCAACGATGAAAAACTCTACATCACAAGGTGGAGAATGAGTGAGGATCAGATCATCACTTCCATAACCAATTCAAAGTCAA